TATGATTAACCCCTTTTTGAAGGGTTTCCATTACAATTTTGGACAAGGGAAAAATTTTCTTGCCCATAATTTAGTACATAGTTTTTTTTTTTGCACTACCCTGCCCTGCCGACTCCCTGACAAACCCTCCCCTTGCACCCAATCCCCCCTGACCCTTTCCCTGCTCTGGCGCTGTAAAGACCCTCGTAGATTTTGCACTTCTTTTTTTTTATAACAGTTTTTTAATCACTTTCTTATAGGTGATGAGTCTTTCTTTGTCTTATCACTGCTGTTTATATATATTTTTTTCTGTAATTACTGTGTGTTGACAATAATTAGAATATTCAGTTGTGCAGTGCTGTATGACCCTTGTGGGTTTAGCACCTGGTTTTGATTATAATTACTGAGTGTCTTTGCCTGCTTGTTCCCCTTCATTTTCAAAATCTCTTTTCAATGTCCTATATTTGCGTAGCATATACAATGCCTCTATCTCCTTGATCACAAACTCTCCTCGTCCAATCATCATCTTGATTTGCTCTGGATCAGTTGCATCCTTATTCTTGAGGAAAGATCTCTTGAGCTTCTCTCTGAAGTACTCATACCCCATGGGATACTCTCGGCCAAGATACAGCAACTGAGGTGTAATAGAGATTTATTAAGAAGTCATTTGTGTTAAAATCATTTTAAAAACTGCTGATAAGAAATTTACATACAAATTATACTTTATAACAATCTTCAGTACTTACCCTAGCAAGGACTAATATTCTAGACTGATGTATATCCTGTACTATTAATTTACTCTCCCTTGTCTTGATGCTGAAGGGCTCTTGATCCAGGAATTAGAGCTACCCTCCCACCTTTAGATCAGATATGATTACTTCCCATTTGCTCTTTGGGTTTACCATTATAATAAATATAATACTGTAATAATATAATGCAAGAAAATACACATTACAGTTGGGAAGAAATAAAATAATTGTTGCAAGCAAGCAAAATATAAGATAGTTGGTACACACACTACTGATTACTGCCCTTCAAATAGCTTTGCACTGATGCTAGGGAAGGGACCTTAAACCCAAACAGCTGAAGTTAACCTCCCCTTCCTTGGATCAAACTTGATTGCCTCCAATTCCCCAGGCACTGTGTAAGTTAGTTTAATATATTATACACCCCATACCCAACCTTTGAGTGGTAGTCAAAAAGATTACAGAGGTACGTAATGTTTCCAGGGGCTGGGCCCCAGAGTTATAATAGCTGAACAAGTTACAAAGGCAATGAACCATTCATAGGTCCACACCTGATAACAATTGCAATGAGTTATTAATGCAAATATTAGCTTTATTTACAACTAAAGCACTGTGTAACCAACCTGTGTTTGGTACTCATTAAATGCTTTGCTATGTAATAGTAATACATAACTGGCTTTCTCCTATGTTACAAACTTCTCTTCAGCTACCCCTCAAGGGAGGTTCCTTGATGCTGGTGAGGGGCTCTTGATCTAGGGAATTGGACCTGTGCTCCAGTTCCCTGAATTGAGCCTGGACACCTTCCATCCCCCACCCACATGCACTGTATAATCCTACGGGTTTAGCGCCCCCACGATTATAATAACTCTTCAGCTACACATTTAAGGGTACCAACCTCTGGCTCCCCATTCCTATAAACTATTTACTCATTCAGTAATAAGGTTTAGAAAAAATTTCCTCTTTCAACTCACATTTTTATACAGCTGTATTACTTGTGGTCTCAGTGACATGGCTGCTGCTAATTTTTGACCTGGCCGAGTTGTAGCTGGAAAAAAAGTGGAAATAAATATATACATTTTGTATGTGTGTATACTTATCTATATGTGGTTGCAGGAGTCGAGTCACAGCTCCTGGCCATGTATGTATGTACTCACCTGTATGTGGTTGCAGGGACCAAGTCACAGCTCCTGGCCCTGTGTATGTGATTGCAGGGGTCAAGTCACAGGTTCTGGCCCTGTGTGTATATACTCACCTGTATGTGGTTGCATGGGTTGACTCACAGCTCCTGGACTGAACCTAATTGCATCTCCTTCACCCAAGCACTGTATGACTCCTACGAGTTTAGCACTTCCTCTCTAAATACAGTAATAATGTAATCCCTGTAAATTTCTATGCTGCTAACCTTACTTAAAACTGAACATACTAGTAATACTTGACACCCAAAAATAAAATGATTTGTGCTAGATAATGGAATAAGTAAGTTTATTTAGGCACAGGTACACATAAGTACAATTATCCTACATAATGTAAATTACCCACCATGATAAAACAAAAAAATGTCAAAATGACATATATATGTATTTACAATGGGGTACTTAGAGTTGCAAGCTGTATGGCCCTTGTGGGTTTAGTGCTTAGTTTTGATTGCTGGAGATAGACTTTTCCACTCACTCTCACCCCCCCCCCCTCTCTCTCTCTCTCTCCTCTCTCTCTCTCTCTCTCTCTCTCTCTCTCTCTCTCTCTCTCTCTCTCTCTCTCTCTCTCTCTCTCTCTTCTCTCTCTCTCCTCTCTCTCTCTCTCTCTCCTCTCTCTCTCTCTCTCTCTCTCCCCATCTCTCTCTCTCTCCTCTCTCTCTCTCTCTCTCTCTCTCTCTCTCTCTCTCTCTCTCTCTCTCTCTCTCTCTCCTCTCTCTCTCTCTCTCTCTCTCTCTCTCTCACCTCTCTCTCTCTCTCTCCTCTCTCTCTCCTCTCTCTCTCCTCTCTCTCTCTCTCTCTCTCTCTCTCTCTCTCTCTCTCTCTCTCTCTCTCTCTCTCTCTCTCTCCTCTCTCTCTCTCTCTCCTCTCTCTCTCCCCTCTGGTAACATGGAAATACGCATTACTGAAGCTACAGAAAGGAAGGAGAATGATTTATTGTACAACTAACATTGCAAGCTGATCCTCTCTTTAATGTAAATAATTCAGCAGATCTTATTCCTAATATATCTCATTTTGTTGTAACTGATTTTCACTCATTTAAGTTACTTAGCTGTTTAATATTAATAAATATTTCTACCAGTACATGTACAAGGTATACAGACCATAGCTGACATCACTGACATACTACTATATACAAAGCCCCTTGTTATGTAGAACATTTCCCGTAAATTAGGTCAGTTTTGTTCCCAGGATGCGACCCACACCAGTCCACTAATAAATAAAAATAAAAATAGGTGAACATGGACAGTAGGTGTCTTAAAGAAAGATGTTCTAATGTTTCCACCCGTACCGGGGATCGAACCACGGACCTCAGTGTGTGAGCTGAATGCGCTACCAATCGAGCTATAGGACTTTTAAGGTTTAAATAACATATTACAAGGACCACCATGAAAATAAATAACTTTTTCGGTTATCCTGGCAGCTAATTTACCCATATATTAATATGTATGAACCCCTCAAGGAAGGTTCCTTGATGTTGGTGAGGGGCTCTTGATTTAGGGAATTGGATCTGTGCTCCAGTTCCCCGAATTAAGCCTGAATGCCTTCCACATCCCCCCCCAGGCGCTGTATAATCCTCCGGGTTTAGCGCTTCCCCCTTGATTATAATAATAATATGTATGATAATTTATGTAACTATGTGTACCAGTACCAATGGAAATAAGTCACTCTGTCTGACTTTTTTGGGTTATCCCAGGTTCTCTACACATATGCTGCTATGTATGATAATTCTATGTAACTGTATTTGTGTATACCTGAATAAACTTACTTACTTACTTATTCTTTCCGTCCAGGTTTGCTGTATAATCCTTCGGGTTTAGCGCTACCCCCTTGATTATAATAATAATAATCCGTCCAGGTTTTCCGTCCGTCTCTTGTTTGACGGAAAACAGCTGATGTGAGCCAGAGGTGCTGCTGCCACCTGGTGGCAACTTTCACAACCACCAACGAAAACAAGGCGTCGTCATGGCAACTATGACGCTAACGCTGCACTACTCGCCTACTCGTGGTTACTGGGGTCGAGACTCAGCTCCTGGCCCTGCCTCGCAGTAAAGGTTCTTGTGGGGTTATAGTAAATTTATTCATGTACATTACACAGGCTTAAATATTTACAATGATTTTTACATAGTAACATATTATATGTAAATTACCTAAGATTAGCTAATAAAGTCAAATTGACTTGTTTTCATTGGGGTTCTTGATGGGTAAACGTGTGAGTGATGGTGAGATATAAGCGTGAGTAATGGCGAGGCACAGATGTGAGTGATGGTGATATATAAGAGTGAATTAAGAGAAGGTAAGAAGTGGTGCTGGTGCGGTACAAGTGTGAGTGATGGTGACGTACAAGTGTGGGTGATGGTGATGTAAAAGTGTGGGTGCTGGTGAGGTACAGGTGTGGGTGATGGTGATGTAAAAGTGTGGGTGCTGGTGAGGTAGAAGTGTGGGTGATGGTGAGGTAGAAGTGTGGGTGCTGGTGAGGTACAGGTGTGGGTGATGGTGAGATACAGGTGTGGGTGATGGTAAGGTACAAGTGTGGGTGATGGTGACGTACAAGTGTGGGTGATGGTGATGTAAAAGTGTGGGTGCTGGTGAGGTACAGGTGTGGGTGATGGTGATATAAAAGTGTGGATGCTGGTGAGGTAGAAGTGTGGGTGATGATGAGGTACAAGTGTGGGTGATGGTGAGGTACAGGTGTAGGTGATGATGAGATACAGGTGTGGGTGATGGTGAGGTACAAGTGTGGGTGATGGTGAGGTACAGGTGTGAGTGATGGTGAGGTACAGGTGTGGGTAATGGTGAGGCACAAGCGTGAGTGCTGATGAGGTACAGGTGTGGGTGATGATGAAGTACAAGTGTGGATGATGTTGATACATTACTTATAATTTTACAGTTTACTCATTACTCATATTAACCAACCTCTCTCTCTCTCTCTCTCTCTCTCTCTCTCTCTCTCTCTCTCTCTCTCTCTCTCTCTCTCTCTCTCTCTCTCTCTCCATTAAAGTTAATCTATAGGAGAGTGTCCATCAAGTGTTCCAGAGCTAGAGAGAACACTGCCACACCCATGCAGTGTCAGAGCTAGAGAGAACACTGCCCACCTACACCATCAGTGTCCAAGTGTTCCAGAGCTAGAAAGAACACTGCCCACCTACACCATCAGTGTCCAAGTGTTCCAGAGCTAGAAAGAACACTGCCCACCTACACCATCAGTGTCCAAGTGTTCCAGAGCTAGAGAGAACACTGCCCACCTACACCACCAGCATGCCACCCAAGGTCAGCTCATTCTACATAAATTTCTGTTATACTATCTACTACAAAAATTCATTTAGATACATCATAGAGATGTTGATATTCAAAGTTACTCTTCTTCTGTCCCCACATCCTCGCTCTCTCTTTACCAGCGAGTTAGCTATTATTATTATTATTATTATTATTATTATTATTATTATTATTATTATTATTATTATTATTATTATTATTGCATTCATGGAGGGGAGCCCTAAATCTGTAGGTGTCGTACAGCGCCCGGGAGAATGGAAGGAGTTCAAATTTAAGGAACTGGAGCACTGGTCTAGTTCCTATATCAAAAACCCCTCACCATTATCTAGGGGTGTCTTAAACTTAGATGTTCTTCAGTCTTTTAAAATATTACTGTATTAATCAGAAAACTGCAAACTTGTAAGAGTTATACCAGGTTTGATCCGAGGAAGGGTTGTATTCAGGAACTTCAGGTCAACTAGTCCTCTAAGCTTCTGATTTGCTTTTTGTAACAGGCGACTCCAGGCTGGTAAATATCGAGCAGACATTGTATCCTCTGCACCACCACTCTACAGAAAAGCATTTGACAATATATTTCAATTGATTTAATCCATTTCTCGAATGCATTCAGTGGTCGGCTGGTCAAACTCGCAGATCCCGTCAGGGATATCAAGTGCCCAATACCAGGAGGTATTGCCCAATACCAGGAGGTATTGCCCAATACCAGGAGTTATTGCCCAATACCAGGAGGTATTGGGTCCCTGACAATCCTGACGAGCCGCCATCATTTCAACCTTGTACCATTACACGTTCATACACACATTTTTTTATTATAATAAGACATGAGAGTATCTAAATAAATTATATTTTATGTTCCTTTTTATTGTTTTCCTTTTCGTCATGTTTAACGAATCTTTATATCATATTATTCCAAAGTTTAGGACAATGGAAATAAATTTTGATTATGTTCGCCACAGTCACCTTACTTTTCAGCAAGCTCAAGGTGCCACCAGGAAGCTCAGTAAGGAAGAGCGGGAGAAGCTGAGACAACTGGAGCTGGAGAGGAAGCAAAGGGAAGCTGAGGAGGCCAGGTGAGTGTGTTAGGTGAAAGGATTGTAGTGATTGTATGACTGGGAGGCGGAAAGACGTTCAAGTTGCGCTTGTCAGTGTTATAGAGAGATGCACTGATTTGTCAATAGAGTTGTAGATGAGTGGAGCAAACCCCCAGGTAGTGTCATTGAGACGAGAACTGGGTAGTTTTAAATGCAGGTTGGACGGGTTTATGAGTGGGTTGAAGTCATACCTATCTAGCATGGGTCAATAGGTTTGCTGCAGTGCTCCTTTATTCATACATTATGTTGATTTCCCCGTCAGGATCCGAGAGGAGGAAGAGGAAGCAGCGAGGAAGGAGAGAGAGGCGGAGGAGGCGGCGAGGCGGGAGGAGGCGAGGCTGGAGCAGCAGCGGCAGCGGCAGGTGCAACTCAAAGCTACCATCACCGTTACAACACAGCTCGATCTTACCATGGACCTCACAAGGGACCGTCTTAAGGACAAAGAAGAGGTAAACACGAGCAGAAAGGCAGGGAAGGTATAAACGATATAGGGGCATCATGACACGGAGGTACCCACTAGCAGGGCAGATTTTACTCGGATTATTAACCCGGAGAAATAGTAACTCAGGGGAGCTCAGTCAAGACACTATTTCCATTGATTCTCTTCCCCCATATTGCGACCCACAACAGCCGGCTGACACAGTTTCGTACTTACTGCTAGATGAACAGGAAAACAATGTTAGGAAACAGGCTCAATGTTTTCGCTTGTTTTGGAATCGAACCCAGGTGCTTAAGTTTTGAGCTGAAGGTGTTATCATGTAGTAGTAGTTCATGCAGTAGTTCACTCGAAATTGTGCGACACAGACAATACAAGAACTATTCATATTATGGGCTGTACATAAAATTATAATTCCATTTTTTTGGGGGGAGGGAATAAATTATTTAATGTTTTTAGTGCTTGTCACCCTTTTAATACCTAAGGGTGGTATTAGATCACGTAACACAGTTCTCATACCTAGGTATTCATACTAGATCATCTGGCACTATTCTATGCCCAGAGGACGACAATATATCTTCTACCGTCCTTATTATAAGGAGTAACAGGTCATTTGCCCCAAATGAAAATAAATACTACTGTCTGACTTGATTTGTTTATTATACTGTAAGTTAAACCTATATAACATACCATTGATGTAGACCTGCAACATATATGTGTGTCAGAACCATTGTACAAATATATACTACTATGTGTCAAATCATTACTGGATTTCCTGGATGAAGTTTCATATTTATACTCAGTGGGAGCGGATGATGAGGTGTGATGGCTTGCCTGACCCGACTAGTGTGCCAGAGATGAACAGGTACTTGAGCCTATGGCGGGCTGACCCAGACACAGCTACATTACATGGAGCTTTGGCCAAGACAGACCAAGTCATTCATGTGAGTACTCTCATAATTCATACCACTAATAAATGCTTCGATACTGTAAATTGCATATTTATATATGAATAACTCTCTGTGGTCAGGACCTGGGGATTGCCTTGAAGACTTTACGAGCGTCATTAATAGACCCTGTATTTCACGGTAACTCATGGACTAAATTTTTTACTCTTCAACCAACGGTACCTACGAACCCTATCTCAGACCACAGTATCAGCAAAGCACTCTTGCAACATGTCGGTATTGTATACCATTGCCATATTCACAGTCAGACACTGCAACACAGCGGTATCTTGGTATTGAGGACAATTTTTCGGTTGCAAGTGACATTTTCGATAATTTTGGCTGACCTCTGGTTGCGAAGAGACAAAAACCGGTGATGGACATTCTCCCACCTACGTATCGGACGCAACCATCTTAATCATGGGTATCTCATGAAGAAACACTTACCACCGCTGTCAAGTTCCGTTGTCGGGCATGCAGAATTTATCCCCGGCGTCGTCACCACCCTAACGCATTTGCTTCTGACCTTGCTGACAACCCCACCTTTGACACAGACTCCCTCTGTCTTTTTGTCAGCAATTGCTTTATTGCGCCAACTCTGATTATATTTTCCCTTTAGTGTTCCCCTGCCACCCCCAACTAACTCCGCCTCTTGCATAATCCTAACTCACTAGTCTCTGATCTTCGTATATTTCATCATTAGCACATACGATTCTGCAGCGCTGTATGACCCTTGTGGTTTAGCGCAACGTTTTATTGCAATTAATCTTATGTTCTGTAGCATATATTTAGTCACTTAAATCCATAACTTGATATGTTGCACATGTCAGGTGATCTCGGAGCTGGAAGGAGTTGTGGAGGAGACCAGAGACGCTACTGAGAAGCAGCTCAGGGACTGGAAGGAGGTAAGCAAGCATGGGAGATTATTAAGAACTTTATAAGTTCGACGTTCTACTTTCATAAGGCTTTACCAGGTACTTAATAACCACTAACTTGTAGGTACCTATGGCAGGCTGGGGGTTCTTTTTGATTATAATAATAATAATAATAATAATAATAATAATAATATGGCAGGCTGGTGGAGCTTCGCGTTACTAGAGGGAAATAAATATGAATTCCCAGCATAAATACGTCAGAGTATTAGGATTACAGAGAAGTGGGATGATTTGTAAGATTATACGAGGAAGCGAGGTGAGTTAGGTAATTTATCAGGCTGATTGAAGGTGAAAATACCATTTTCAGTAAAATTGTAGCCAGTCGCCAAAATTTTGGCAACCTATGTGTCAAAATTCTCTAAATTGTATGTGTGAGTAAATGTTATTTCATTATACTTAAGTTTGAGCTAGGCTATGTGCTGTGAGTCTGCGCTAGGCTAATTTCTGTGAGCCTGACCTAAGCTGAATGAACTAGGCTGTGTTGAATGTTGGTTACAGATCTGGTTGGAGCTACAGGAGGCGCAGAAGGAGAAGTTGAACGAGGCTACATACCACCAGCTGCTGGACCTCCGTCCTCATCTCGACCACGAAACTATGGTATTTCACCTGCTCTCCCTCCTACCTACCCAATCTCTTACATTTTTCCCTCCTTCCCACTGAAGTCTACCAACTCCGGCTGACATATTTCAACACCTTGTATGAGCCCCATCCTGCGTGATGGAATATGACAGGGAAACAGTTATTTTTTGTTCTCACTGTTTAATTATCATATAAAATAGGGCAACAGCATGCTGTTGATGTATCCATTCCAAATTCATGCCAAAAATAAAAAATAATAAAGTTCTTCTCAGCGAAAAAATCACGATAATGTAAATTGTGTCGTACAGTACTACTGCTACTGCAGTTTATTGGATTACAAGATAAATTAATCCATTGCTCTTGACAAAGAAAACACCAGACAGTCACCAAACTATTTATTTAATTATTAACCTGGTGTCACTGACAGGTGTATTCCTTCTTCACATCATCACCCCTGGTGTCCCTGGCTCTCTGGAGCAACACAACTCGTTCTCCCAAGAACAACTCTCATGAGGTATGTACCAAGACAGCAGAGAACAACTTAGCCCTTCACTTTCCAGTAATTTTCTAAGATATTTTTGACTGTGCTGTTAAGCAGTGACCAAAGGTAACACCTGACTGAAGAAGTCTGTTCACTTTGCAGCTGTCTTTTTCAACATATTGGATAACTTTAAAAATAAGATGGACAGATATATGCATGAGAAGGGTCGAGTTTGATAGAACTTGACTAATATGAACCAGTAGGCCTGCTGAAGTCCTCTGTTCTTATGTTGTAATTGTATGGTTCAGGTGACGGAGTTGGGGTTCACGTTCACTCTACCAGGTGACCTCGTGGAGACAGAGTGTGTAGTGAGGGTGATGAGGACTGAATATGACCATTACTCAAAGTTTGCCAGGACATACAACCCACCAGTGGTGCCCGAGGAACAAACTACACTCCTAGGTGGGTGGACAACTCACTCGCCCACAAGAATAGCCTGATAAACCAATGGAACCCAATGACAATAAGTAACTCTAACTTTTTTGGGTTATCCCAGGTTCTTTACACGTATGCTGCTATGTATGATAATCTATGTAACTGTATTTGTGTATAATTGAATAAATTTACTATAAATGTTCAATTTTAAACATTCTTTGCTTTTTCTCGGCTACTTCGTTGTCACGTTTCATGGCAGTTTTTCCTAATTTGCTGCTCTGTAGCTAAATAAAATTTTTTATAGGTTTATTTATCTAAACCTAATCCAGTCTGATTAAAATTAAGTTTTAACTTATATTATAGAAAATAATAGATGTAAAAAAAAGTAAAATCGTGTAGATATTGACGTTGGATACTACCAAAAAAATTAGCATGTTAAAATGATGAAGGTCTCTTGATCCAGGGAACTGGAGATTCTTTCCTTCGTTGAATCACATCTATTTCAAATTCTTCTTAAATATAATGTATAATAATAATTTACTGAGAATTCAGGTTAAAAATTCTAAACCTAAAATTCTTTCGCAAAATAGCCTAAATTTTCCGTATCTAAAATGTGGTTTATACATTCAGTAAAAAACTTTTATGGTCTTATGGATTATATTTATCCATTTCAGGTATATCTTGTTCTTTCTTAACTACCACAATGATTAATAATGTAACAAAAAAAAGAGAAAGCTAAGTAGAGTAAGTCTTTATGATGTGATGTTCCACCCTATTGAGTGTTTTGTTTAGTTAATGTAAACCTGAGGAAGCATTAGTGCTTTCTCAGGTTTAGTGGTTTATTTAAACTTGACTGAGAACCATTTAGTGTTTTATGAAGTCTATATAGACCTGATATAACACTGCTTGCTTAATAAAGTCAATATAAACCCGATACAGTACTATTTAGTTAATAAAGTCAATATAAACCACAGTACTATTTAGGTAATAAAGAAATATAAACCCGATACAGTACTATTTAGTTAATAAAGGCAATATAAACCACAGTACTATTTAGGTAATAAAGTCAATATAAACCCGATACAGTACTATTTAGTTAATAAAGTCAATATAAACCAGATACAGTACTATTTAGTTAATAAAGTCAATATAAACTGGATACAGCATTATGTAGTGTTACAAAGTCAATGTAAATCTGTAACAGTACTATGTCTAACAACAATATCTGGCTCTTGTTACTGTACCTGTGTTTAGATAATCGAGCCTCCACCATTCCTTGTGCGTAATGACCCCCATCCCCACAAGGGTTTAGCGCTTCACGTGAATATAATAACATTATTTCAGAGGACGGGGGAGAGGAAGAGGAGGTGGAGCCTGAGGAACAACCTCCTCCCAAAGAGGTGAGGTCCTTCATGGTATGATGTCAAAGAGGTGAGGTCATTCATGGTATTAAAATGATGTCAAAGAGGTGAGGTCCTTTATGGTATTATAATGATGTCAAAGAGGTGAGGTCATTCATGATATTATAAGGATGTCAAAGAGGTGAGGTCCTTCATGGTATTATAATGATGTCAAAGAGATGAGGTCCTTCATGGTATTATAATGTCAAAGAGGTGAGGTCTTTCACGATATAATTGTTAATGATGTTAAATTATATTGATTATATTCCACATAAAAACGGTAAACTAATAATATTAAATAGGTTTTTTGTGTCCTCAGGGCGGAGGAAAACCAGAGGGAAACTCCAAGGAAAAGATGGGTAAAGAAATCTTATTGTGTTTGTTATTGTTTCTGGAGATCAGTGGTATTACTTCCAATTATTATTTATGTGTGGGTGTTACAGGAGCACCGCCGGTGATGGCGATACAATGTGTGGGTGTTACAGGAGCACCGCCGGTGGTGGTGAAGAAACACAAGCCAGTGCACCTGACGGAGACGGCGCCGGGGGAACTCAATCTTCGACGGTACCGCATCCAGGGCGGCGTGTACACCATCGACCTGCTGGAGGTACCACCACAGCCTCGTGTTATGGCTGATTGTACCATCACACAAGGTCAGTACACAGCTGGAGTAATTTGTAATTACTTATTTTATCCAGCTATGGTTGTGGTGTCCCGTTTTATTTCGTGCCGTCAGAGGCTAGGCTATAGTGGAACTACAAAATAGAAATAGGTCACAGAATTCACAATGGGTCTTGGTCAGGCACCACTGGGCAAAAGTCATCGTTATAACAAATGATGTACCCAAATTACAATTTTAACTAAATAGTTCAATCATCTACTTGGTGCAGTGTGAATATAGTGTCAAGATTTCAGATATATAGAGGCCTGACAATAAAACTGGAAGAACTTACGCAAAACTCAACTTCTAAGGTCATTAATGCATGAACAGATTTCGTTTCCTTGTGAACCATTCGTCCTGGATTCATTCCAATGCCTCAGATTCATTCACCGGTTCCCTGGATTCATTTGCAGTTCATTCTGCTTCCGAGTGGATATCCTTTAGACGTTTTTCACCACACTCATCATCTGCATAACTCCTAAAAATTATTATTTCAATGGCTGCGGCTGACGGTGGACATCATAGTGGAGGAGGTGTGCACTGTGTCGCGGGTTCACTGGGTGGCACAGTACAACCCGCCAGCGGCACCAGAAGCGGCTGGCCAGCGGCGCCGCGACCCCGAGGCTGTAGAACAGGAAATGAGACAACTGGAGAAGGAACTGCAGAAGCTTCTCCTCATTACCATCAAGTATGTGAATAGGATGGGTGCGTGGGTGGATAGAACCTGTAATTCACTGATATAGCGTTCGGTTCACAATCGAAAGGATTAGGGTTCGACTCTCGGGTTGTTGTCTGTTCACCTACTGTAAATCAGCATCTGAGTTACAATCACTTATTGTAGGTGGCATCCTGATGGGTGGGGTGATCATATACCTTAGATAGGTCTGGGCTTTAAAATAAATTAAGGTACATTAGCCGAATCCTGCTTGAAAAATTGTGTAGCTGACATCTACATATTGGGGATGAAATATGTGACGAAAGTTAATAAGATAATACATCTCTTACTGTTATGTGTTTTTTTTCCGTTACACATTTTTAAACATTTGGTTGTTGAAAGGTTACCGGATTCTGCGTTTTGGTTCGAGCCTCCGCAGATGGTGCTGTGGGATGAGAAGAAGAGGTGCTGGTCCAACGAGTACTTCCATGATGTCAAGTATAACGAGGACCAGTGTGTCATGCAGGTGTGTGTGTTTATCATTCAGATAAATAAGTGCAGCAAACTTTATAGCCTTCCAGAATGCAAATACTCTCATACATAACCAGTCTGTACTGAAAAATAGGCAAATTATCCCAACTCGCCGAAATTAGAAAATAATGGAATGACAAGCATGTTAATATAAAAAATATAAGCCAATAAACCCCTGGCTGCCTTCAAGAGAGAGCTGGACAGATACCTAAAGTCAGTGCCGGATCAGCCGGGCTGTGGCTCGTACGTTGGACTGCGTGCGGCCAGCAGTAACAGCCTAGTTGATCAGGCCCTGATCCATCGGGAGGCCTGGTCATGGACCGGGCCGCGGGGGCGTACATGCACAGAGGTGCATGTACACTTCACTCCTTGTGTAGGGGATTATAGTATTTTTGATGCTAGTGTACCCCTCAAGGAAGCTTCCTTGATGCTGGTGAGGGGCTCTTGATCTAGGGAATTGGATCTGTCCTCCAGTTCCCTGAATTAAACCTGAATACCTTCCACATCCCCCCACAGGCGCTGTATAATCCTGTGGATTTAGCCCCTCAAGGAAGGTTCCTTGATGTTGGTGAGGGGCTCTTGATTTAGGGAATTGGATTTGTGCTCCAGTTCCCCGAATTAAGCCTGAATGCCTTCCACATCCCCCCCCAGGCGCTGTATAATCCTCTGGGTTTAGCGGTTCCCCCTTGATTATAATAATAATAATGTGGATTTAGCGCTTCCCCCTTGATTATAATAATGATGCTAGTGTACACGTGAAATGCGGCTTGAATTATTCATATGCAGTTGATAGCAATAGCGCCTTCGGCTCACAAACGAAGGACCAGGGTTCAATCCTGCGGAGGGCAGCATACTGGGAATGGAGGGATAGTATGCTTGGACACAGATGAAGTAGAATAATGGCTTTATAGTATAAATTCAGCGGTGTAAAGCACTACTAACTAAGAACGTGTGTGTGTGTGTGGCAGGTGCGGACGACACGGCTAGGTGTGATGGGACTGGCTATGAACAGGTTCGCCAATCTACCCTTCCAGAGTTGGGAACTGAAGCCTGAGGGAGGCCATGCTGTCACCCTCACTCTCATCGCAGCTGTGGTCGTGGCTGACTTCACTATCATGGTAAGCTCACTATTCATGAACTAGGACGGAGGTTCGAGCCTCCACCATTTCACTATCATAGTAAGTTCATTATTATTGTTGATGTTTCAGATGTAAACAAGCTTGCAGATGTTTGACTTGTAGGTGAAGCATTAATACTTGTGTTTGTTTACAGGAGGAAGGTCAAGTATGCTTGGCCAACCTACAGGATGGCGCCCGCACTGCTCTCTCTCACCTCTACGGCAAGCCTATGAAACCCAACGCTCTCATTAAGGTATATGCACACAAGCCTATAAACTCCAACGCAGTTAATAAGATAAGCACACACACTACTTGGTTGTTTTATTAGGTTTAAATTTTAGCTTGTCGACTACATAATGATCATTAGGCTACATGTCATTTGTACATTAGTCAAGGATACTTTAATGCCTAAAATAAGGATTACAGGAAACCCTCGGTGTATACATTGAAGAATACTTACCTTTAAGTATATAATGCTATCTTAAAAAAATAGAAACCATTTGGTGTAGGGGAGTGCCGTTGAAGGGCTCTTGATCCATAGAATTGATGATACTTTCCATTTCCATGGATCGAATTTAACTACACGCCAATCCTCCTGCGGATTTAGTGCTCTCATGAAATAAAATGAATATTTGTCTTGCGTAAATATTTTCAACGTAAGAGATCTTAGTGACAAATATACCTTCTGAAAACATTATTGTATTAAAATATATCTGGTGCTCTGAACTTCCACAGACGCTGCAGTTTTACGGGATCAACTTGTTTCCTGACCGCGACTCTTACTGTTACATGGACGGTCTGCCCACCAAACACAGGGTCACCGAGCAGCACTTGTACCGCTGTATGGCACTTGTGGCACCTGCTCTACACTTCGCCTGGAGTCGCTGGAACCTCCTGGCTGGCAAGACAAAACTGGTGTTCCAGATGAAGACAAAGATACTGTCTGCTGATGACACACAGGTCTGTCTCTCTCCCTCTCTCTAGGAATGTAGGCTTGATTTGTTGATATTAGGCTAGTTACTCGTAATTGAAGGTCCTTGGTTCGAACCCTGCAAAACTTTGGATGTGCTTTCTTACACTTGTTGCCCTGTTCACCTAGCAGTATGTATCTGGATGTTATCCGACGGTTGTGAGTCGCATCCTGGGGAAGAGAATCGAAGGATCCCAATGAAAAGGAAGTTATACTGGTTTTCTACAATTATCCTGGGTTACTAACCCTCCGGGTTATCCTGGGTTACTAACCCTCCGGGGTATCCTGGGTTACTAACCCTCCGGGTTATCCTGGGTTACTAACCCTCCGGGTTATCCTGGGTTACTAACCCTCCGGGGTATCCTGGGTTAGCAACCCTCCGGGTTATCCTGGGTTACTAACCCTCCGGGTTATCCTGGGTTACTAACCCTCCGGGGTATCCTGGGTTACTAACCCTCAGGGTTATCCTGGGTTACTAACCCTCCGGGTTATCCTGGGTTACTAACCCTCCGGGTTATCCTGGGTTACTAACCCTCCGGGGTATCCTGGGTTACTAACCCTCAGGGTTATCCTGGGTTACTAACCCTCCGGGTTAGTAATAACAATAAGCTCTTCTCGTTGCAGGTAGGTCAGCCGCTGGTTTTAGTGACGCCTCAGAGAACAGCAGTACTGGAGTGTTCGGAGATCTCTCAGTCTTTCTCCACTGCTGAGGAGGAACCAGAAAAGGTTAGACCCACCTCCCTCACCTCAGCTCAGGTCACTCGGCCTCTCCTGAGGAAAACGTGCGCTTTTCAACGAAGCAGATAATTTCTTGCCAAAAACTTGATATAGGTTCACGAAGAGCATATTATTTTTTAATGTTTTCGAGTTCATCGAAATTTGCTCTTTTCGTGTTTTTTTTTTTATGACACGTAATTTCTTTTACGATTTGACGTGCTATTGGAGTGTTCGATTTCATTAAGTTTAAATTGTTGTAGTTTATCTGACTAATTATTCCACGTTTTGGGGCCTTATAGCTGTGTTGAGTTTGTATAAAGATTCAGGCAGACATAAGGTCTGTCAGAGATGTGTGCTTCGAGGGTTGATGTCAGTGTTGATTCATATGTTGATGTATTGATACCTGTGTTGATATTCGTAATGAAGCTTGTATTGATATGTTGATGCCTGTATTGATGCTTGTATTGATGTGTGTGTGTGTGTATGTGTGTGTGTGTGTGTGTGCTAAGGGCATTGATTGATTAATATTGATGTGATAATGGCGTATATGAAGTGATTAATAATACGATGCTAACGTTCGTGATTAATGTGATGAAAATAACTTCGCGTACCGCCAGTGATGAGCTGTAACTCTGTTGATGTCTTTACAGTACTACGCTGATCTATACCAATTAGTGCTGGGAGAGGCTGATGACGGGGCGAAGCAGGTGCTGCAGGAGGCGTCACCAGTGTTCATCCACACCATTCATCACATGCTCAAGTCTGCCTCAGTCATTTCCTACTGCTGACCTGCCCTAATGCTGCTGCTGCTGCTGCTCCTGTTGGTTGTTATTTATGGTGCCGTTGCTGTTATTTATGGTGATAGCGGTGGTGGTGTTACTACCAGTGTTGCTATGCTTCTCAAGTCTCTATCACCTACTGTTGCTTGCACTTCTAGTGGATCAATAGCCCTTCACCATAATCAAGGCACTTCCTTGAAGGGACATCATTAGCAAAACGGAGAAACAGCCTCTGCTGTTGCTGACACATGATCTGACTCCTGTCAGATCATGTCTGTCAGCAACAGCAGAGTCTCCACTACAGAACCTTGCGTACCTCGCTTCCTTTTGTAATTTTTGCTGTGACCTAATTCATGTCTGTATAAATAACTCATGATTGTAACCAGATATAAACATGTATAGTTTATTACCACTGTAGCTTGCTTAGCTATCAGAATTTTGCGGTCCAGTCCCTTGACCTATTATGTGCCTCTGCAGTCTTTTAGACTACCTCCCACGGGATGAGTATGGGGTGCGTGAAAGATATCTAACTAACCTCGCTTCCTCCCTCAGTTACTCTGTCAGGTCTACCAGATACTTCCTCATCCACTTGGGTTCCCTTCCCTTTATTCCTGCCTGTTCTTCCTCTTGGGGATTAACGTCTGGTATATGTGTGCTCATCGAGTTGTTTCCGGGGGTCGAAACTCAGCTCTTGGCCCCGCCTCATAATATTCATTATTGGTTCCTGGCCTCTAAGGGCTGTATGATATCCGTTTTGAAACCGTGTATTAGTTTGTCTTTTCCACTTTCTCATATTAGTTCATTCTACATATTTACCACATTTTTTTTGTGTGCCCACCTTTTAACGAGAGTTCCATGGATTAAGAGGCTCATAAAGCAACTCTCATATCCTAGTCACGGCGGAACACTAGCTACAGAAAAACGATGTGTGAAACCAATTGGTTCTGCGGGGCGAGGAAAGAGGCCAGGTTGTTGCTGAAACAAACGTTCATTTTTCCAAGTCATCCTTGATCGTTATGTCCAACACATTGGGTCATAACTAGGAAGTTTCAGTGTATCAATTATCCTCATACGACTGATCCTGCCTTTCTATGCGATGCACAAAACGTGATTCATCCACCCGTAACTGATCTTACTGCATCTGACATCACTCGATTCGCCTGACCTTTGTTTCACTATGATAACCCCTCAAGGAAGGCTCCTTGACGCTGGTGAGGGGCTCTTGATCTAGGGAATTGGATCTGTGCTCCAGTTGGATCTGTGCTCCAGTTCCCTGAATTAAGCCTGAATGCCTTCCACCCCCCCATAGGCGCTGTATAATCCTACGGGTTTAGTGCTTCCCCCTTTATAATAATAATAATAATAATTCACTATGATAAAGCTCCACAGGGAAAAAACGTCTTTCTGGACGATTGTCCACGTCCTATTCTGCCCGTTAGGTACGTCAGAGGCGGGGACCCAATTCATCAGCTCCACTTTTCCGTTCCGGATATTTTTTGGGTTGTAGGGTTAAACTAGTTGCTGGCTCGGGTAAAAATGTTTACGTCTTCCTTTGCTTAGGTAAAGGAGCCCAGCTGATATAATTGGGAACTTCTAGTTTCTGTTTTCAGAGGAAAAGCCTGATCATTTTACTTTCACCGCCCAGTTTTGGAAAGATAACTTCCAGGACACCAAGAAACAGGGCTCAATACCGCTCGAGCCGTTTGTGACCGTATTAACTCCTTCAACAGGCTACGGCAACGGCTGTCAGTGGCCCTTTAAACCCAACAAACACAAAAATCACGCTTCAATTCAGTCTGGATCACACTTCTGCGCCAGCCTTCGTAAAGTAGGTGTCTCGCTCTACCTCTGCCTGGAGCATGTGTTAGGAATTTCAATGATTTTCTTCCCGGAAAGCTTGTCGTCATCATAAGCAACTGGGCAATTGGTCGGGACGACATGAATAACTTTCGGGGAAATCTGTTGTTGTTGACTCAGCGTTCAGGGTTCAACCATGGGGGTCCACCTTACCTAATTTGGAATATATTTTTTCATATTTTGAGGAAACTTGTCTCCTTTCCATTACCTGCCCAGATCTGGGCAGTCGTTGCACCCAGTAATAATAATAATATTTATTTCTACAAGTACGTGGGCTGTATAATCCTCCGGGTTTAGCGCTTCCCCTTTGATTATAATAATAATAATAATCTACAAGTACGTGCGCTGTATAGTCCTTGTGGCTTAGCGCTTCTTTTTGATTATAATAATAATTCTACAAGTACGTGCTGTATAGTCCTTGTGGCTTAGCGCTTCTTTTTGATTATAATAATAATAATAATACAAGTACGTGTACAGACCTAGCTGACATTCAATATAGAGAGCACCTTGTTATGCAGAGCATTGCTGTATAGCCCTTGTGGTTTAGCGCTTCTTTATTATAATAATATGCAGAGCATTTCAGGCAAATTAGGTCAATTACGTCGCCAGGATGTGACCCACACCAGTCCACTAACACCCAGGTACCTGCTTACTAACTATGTCACTACAAATCAATACTACACTACCATACACGTTACAGTGTCACCATAAGGCACTACCATACAACACTACAATACACGTCACCATATAACACTACACTTCACCATACATCACTACCATACACGTCACCATACAATGCTACCATACACGTCATCATACATCACCATACAACTACCATACACGTCACCATAAAACATTACCATGCACGTCACCATACATCACTACCATACACGTCACCAAACAGCACTACCAAACATGTCACCATACAATACTACCATACACATCACCATACATTACTACCATACACGTCACCATACAATGCTACCATACACGTCATCATACATCACCATACACGTCACCATACAACTACCATACGTCACCATAAAACATTACCATGCACGTCACCATACATCACTACCATACACGTCACCAAACAGCACTACCAAACATGTCACCATACAATACTACCATACACATCACCATACATTACTACCATACACGTCACCATAAAACACTACCATACTCGTCACCATACAATACTACCATACACGTCACCATACATTAGTACCATACACGTCACCATGCAACACTACCATACACGTCACCATGCAACACTACCATACACGTCACCATGCAACACTACCATACACGTCACCATGCAACACTACCATACACGTCACCATGCAACACTACCATACACGTCACCATGCAACACTACCATACACGTCACCATGCAACACTACCATACACGTCACCATGCAACACTACCATACACGTCACCATGCAACACTACCATACACGTCACCATGCAACACTACCATACACGTCACCATGCAACACTACCATACACGTCACCATGCAACACTACCATGCACGTCATTATTTCTAAAGCACTTAAACTGCACTATTCACACAGTCAGACTCCAATATATATTTATTATTACTATCACCTCAACTAAAATCAGTCCTTTCACTTAAAAAAATAATAATATTACCTTCTTTAAAACTTAAAAACAAATCAACTTTTTAATTCGTGAAAATATCCTCATATACTTGGTGGTCTTCTTCAGTGGATGTAGTTCTTGCTTGATCACTACGAGTGATGGCGTCCCTGAAGGTCCTGAACGATTGGTTCAGGGAAGGAGAGCATCTAGGTCGATATTATACTCTGTTTCCCAGTCAAAGATATCCTGTACAGACTCTGCCTTTGTCTCCAAGTAGGTAGGTGGAGTAGTTTCTTGATGGTTTGATAACTCAAGGTAGAATCTTGATCCTGGGTTTCATAACTCAAGGTAGAATCTTTATCCTGGGTTTCATAACTCAAGGTAGAATCATGATCCTGGGTTTGATAACTCAACGTAGAATCTTGATCCTGGGTTTCATAACTCAAGGTAGAATCTTGATCCTGGGTTTCATAACTCAAGGTAGAATCTTGATCCTGGGTTTCATAGCTCAAGGTAGAATCTTGATCCTGGGTTTCATAACTCAAGGTAGAATCTGATCCTGGGTTTCATAACTCAAGGTAGAATCTTGATGTTGGGTTTGAGAACTCACCATTCTCTGATGTTTTTGTCTTGTATGATATATCCGCGAATTTCTTTTAGACGAGTTTTATCATCTTTAATTTTCATCTTGTAAAGTTTGGGTTTTAATGTTCTATCTACTGCGAGACCGAGGTCAATAAGATGCGCTACATAATCCTGACCTTGTTTTCTAATCATTATATTTGATTCTGTTATGTCATTATGGGCAAAACCGGTCTGGTGAAAATCCATTAATGCTCTTATAGCAGCTTTATATGCCTTAAAGCAATCTTCAGCGGAATTTTTTCCTATAAATTTTGCGAAAGTTACTCCGGGGCAGCGGGACATGACAATAGCTAAAGGATCGTAAATGATGCCATAAAGTTTGGGAGCTCCACCGGCGCCATCAACCTTGAGAAGAGCTCTGGCTTCCTTAACAGCTTCTTTCAGATAAACGTCGTCGAAGAGCTTCTTGACGACGACCTTGGTAGCGGAGCCATCATCTTGTTTTAAGAGAGCTGCCCATGCCTCTCCATATGCCCCTCTACCAAGTTTTGTCTTCATGTCAAGGCTGCTCCAGGATAACACGGGGATAACAGTATCGCTAGAGGTGTCTCCACCTGTTTTTGCTTCACTGTCTGGGGGACAGCCTTGCTTCCATGGTTCGGTACTCTTCTCGTGGAGGACATTCTCATCCAATTTTGGCTTTTTGGAAGGTGGAGTGAGAGGAGGAGTTGTGGAGCGAGGTCTCTTCATGCCACCAGACAGTTCTTGTCCATTGGCAGCCATAGCGAAGTGATCGAAGTCTTCTTTAAGTCCTTCCACTTTTGTCATCGAGAAAACCTTTTCTTTCTTCTAGAAAAATACACTTAAGGTACTAGGAAAAAGCCGCGAGATTGTTAATATAGTTACTCTGACGAGACTCGTACCTTAAATTTGTAGACGGTACGACCAGTATTATAGTTAAGTTAGAGGATACCAATAATATACTTAATATACGGGATACCAGTACTTAATATACGGGTTGACCAATAATATAGTTAAGTTACAGAATACCAATAATATACTGAATAGGCGGGAAGATCAACAATATAGTTAATATACGGAATTCCAGTAATATGCTTAATATACGGGTTGACCAATAATATAGTTAAGTTACAAGATGACCAATAATATAGTTAAGTTACAGTATACCAATAATATATTTAACACACAGGATGACCAATAATGTAGTTTATATACGGGATACCAATAATATAGTTGACATACGGGATACCAATAATACATTTAACACACGGGATGACCAATAATGTAGTTGATATACGGGATACCAATAATATAATTAATAGACTGGATAAACAAAATTAATA